TATTTTACAAAAATACAACTTTATTGTACAAATCGGGATTTATTCACGAGCAAAGTTGGTGATCTTTTTGCTCCTTGACATCCAGATATTTAAGATAAAATATTCGATAAAAAGACATAAGCAACTAATATTAAATTGAAATTATGAAAGAAATGTATTATTCTACCTTGTATCTTTTATTTTCATAATAAAGTGGACGAAAATATGGTGTTGATATTGATTTATTTATGATCGAGGGTTTCAGTCCACGTTTCCTCTGACTAGCAATCGATAGTCTTTATTATCGATAATTATGCCCAGGAAGTGTAACAAAATACATATGAAAATAAGATTTAAATGCAATTAATCGTAATTATTGTCGTTTATATCTTATAAGAGTTAAATAAAATGTTTGGCAATTTTTATTTAATAAATGCAATTGTTTGGGGGAAAATATGATTATATTTTATCTTATTTAAATCTAGATTCTAAATTCATATTTTCTTCATTCTTAGAATATTTTTCCTTGTATTTTAAATTCCATAATTAAAAAAAAATTGATTGAGACGTCCTACAAAATAATAAATAATTTCATGAAATGATGGAAAATATTTCGTTATTCCTACAGTATAAATTCAAACTATGGAAAACTTAACCTGTTAATTTTTTTTCTGTTGACATTTTACCAAGTTCATAGCAGAAATAACAATATTATTGATCTTTTTCCTAAGATAGAAGATTTAGGCAAGTTTGTTTACATTGGACACTGCAAGAGTTACTGTTCCTGCCCATTGCATGACGGGACAGAAAACCCTCGTTTGAGGGTATACCCCCGTTTGAGGGTTCGACCAGACTGAATAATGGCATCCCATCCACTAAGACACCGAAAGGGGGGACCACAATTCTTTGAATTTGCTTGTTCTTATGATTTTTTCATTGTATGATGTTGGCAGCTCTGGTATTATATATATTAAGCACACATGCAGTCTGATATATATAGTTGTCTGAAAATAAATCAGGATCAGTATACCAATTTGGACTCATATAAGTTTTAGTACGAGTGTTGACAACCAATTGGATGCAGCGAAAGTGAACATGATAAAAGCTTTCCAATTATGAATTTTGGAAAAGTACATTTATGAAATCAATGAATAATTATTTATAATAATTTTTTTTATTTTATGATTTAACTTGAATTTCTATTGGTTATATCTTTTATATAAAATATATTTACACAGTCTTACTATCCATGGATAATTTTTGTCACCCGCTTTCACGAAAGCCAGGGGACATTAAATCTAATTCATCTGTCAGTCTGTCTGTCACAAAAACTTTAACCTTGGTCATAACTTTTGAATGAGAAGAGATAGGGCTTTCATATTACCCTTGTACATTACCTGTGACAAGACTTCTCCAAATACTATGATATTTGACCCTGTGTATTGGCCTTGAAGTTTGACCTACTTTTCAAAAAATTTAACATTACTTTATATTGGTCATATAATTTGAATGAGAAAGAGATAGGGCTACATATTAAATATGTACATACATTGTAACCTGTAACAAGGCCTTTCCAATTAAACTATAGCTTTTGACCCCATGACCTTGACCTTGAAATTGGACTTACTTTTGAAAACTTTTATCTTTGTGCCTATAACTTTTGAATTAAAAGAGATAGGGCTTTTATGTTTGACATGGACATTACCTGCGACAAGACCTTTCCAAATATACTATGACTTTTGACCTCTTGACCTTGAAGTTTGACCTACTTTTCAAAAAGTCTAACATTACTTTAAATTGGTCATAATTAACATTTGAATGTGAAAAGATAGGGCTTTCATATTAAATATGTACATTACCTGTTACTAGACCTTTCCAAATATACTATGGTATTTGACCCATGACCTTGAAGTTTTACCTACTTTTCAAAATTTTTATCTTTGCTTATAACTTTTGACTGAGAATAGATACATGTAAGGGCTTTCATATTTGTCATGTGCATTACCAGTGATAAGGTGTTTCCGAGCATGCTATAAATTTTCATTCCTTGACCTTCATGTTTGACCTAAATTTCAAAAATTTTAACTTTGATGATTACTTTTGAATGACATATGATAGGGCATTCATATTTGACAAGTGCATTACCTGTGTCAAAATGTTTCTGAATGTGCTATGATACTTGATCCCATGACCTTGACCTTCAAGTTTGACTTAATTTTCAAACATTTCATCGGTGTTGCTAACTTTTGAAGGAGCAAAGATATGGCATTCATATTTGACACATGCATTACCTGTGACCAGCATTTCCAAATGTACTATATGATTTTTAATCTCATGACCTTGAGCTTGAAGTTTGACCTAATTTTCAAAAAGTTTAACATGGCTAATAGCTTTTGATTGAGAGAAGATACGGCATTTACATTTGACATGTGCATTACCTGTTTCAAGACCTTTCTGAATCCGATTTTTATACTCTGTTTTTTTTTGAAATTTTTTTTCACATGTGCATTACTTGTGACAAGACATTTCGGATTATATTATAATATTTGACCTCATGACCTTGATCTTGAAGTTTGATGTAGTTTTGAGAAGCTATAATCTTTGCCATAACTGTTGTTAAGGCCCTTTCACAATTGACGCACAAGCACTTTACAACACCTTGCGATCGGAAAATTTTAGCTTCGCACGAGCTCTCGCATACATTGCACGATTTCTCGTATTTGTTGCATGCGTTTTATTGGTCGCATCAAGTCTCTTCAAAATAGTGGACATGCACACTATTCAGACGTGACCGAATGCGATCCACATTTATCGCAATGCAACGCACGAAAATTAGTACGTACGTTTTACAACGTTTTGTTTACTCGCAAGAGTGATGCACGATTTTTAAAGGTCGTAAGATGAATCGCAGCTGTATATGCGTGTGTTGTGCGACCATGAGACTGTTGCTTAACGTGTCTCATGTAATCTTGCAATGTTTTACTATCATTGCACGATTTATCAGCTTCAGTTTTCCATGCTTATATACCCTGTATAAGCATCTCTGTTTCAGACCACAATTGACAATGGATCCTGCTGCACCAATACCTCCCCGCCGCCTGCTTGGTGTGCTGAATCTCCGAATACAACTCAAAGAACTCCAGCAAAGACATATGGGTGTGTTGGCGTTACTGATCCGTCATCGACAAAGATATGAAAGACAAGAAAGACATTGGTGGGTCAAGCCATGGATTGAGAGGTGCATGTTATTTGGCCAGTATCACACATTGATGACGGAGATAGAGAGAGAATGCCAAGGGGACTTTATTAACTACATGAGAATGCCACCAGTCATGTTTTACGAGCTACTGCAGCGCATTACTCCAAGAATCCAGAAAAGTCAACGTTACAGACGACCACTAGAACCTGGGCTAAAGCTGGCTATCACTCTCAGATATATAGTGACAGGAAACAGCTACATGAACCTCCAGTATTCCTTCCGTGTTGCCCATAATACCATATCATTGTTCATCCCAGAGGTGTGCCAGGCCATCATTGACGAGTATGAAGACGAAGTGTTTGCCTTTCCAACTAACCCAGATGAGTGGCAAGAAGTGGCACAGAAATATGGTGAAAGATGGAATTTTCACCACACATGCGGAGCCCTGGACGGAAAACATGTTGCCATAAGAAACCCATGTCGGTCTGGTACCCTCTACTACAATTACAAAGGGTTTTTCAGCATCATCCTCCTTGCCTTGGTCAACGCCGATTACAAGTTTCTCTGGGCCGACGTTGGTACTCAAGGCTCCTCAGCAGACGCCCAGATCTTCAACAATGGCCCACTGAGAAATGGACTGGAAAATGACACTCTACGCCTGCCAAATCCAAAGCCCCTGCCACATGATGACAGACCCATTCCGTACTTCTTGGTAGGAGACGAAGCATTTCCCCTCAGGTCCTGGATGATGAAGCCCTACTCCAACTGCAACATGACTAACGAAGAAAGGATCTTTAACTATCGTCTGTCAAGGGCTCATTGTGTGGTGGAGAACACCTTCGGCATCCTTGCACACCGCTGGAGATGCATGCTGGGCACGATGCAGCAGGATCCAGACCGGGCCAAGATCATCATCATGGCAGCCATATGCCTGCACAACCTGATAAGACTCTGCTATCCTGGCTTGCAGAACAACGACCTGGATCAGGAAGATGAAGCTGGAAACCACATCCCTGGGGCATGGAGAAACGACCGAGTTCTGCAAGATGTGGAAGCAGTGTGCAGAGGTAACTTGCCAAATCAGGAGGACAAGAGAATCCGAACCTACCTCAAACATTACTACAACAGCAACGTTGGGAGCTTGCCGTGGCAGCAGAATATGATATAGAATGTGATATTGATTATGTATATATGTCAATTTCTTCATGTAAAGATTTAGATTTGTACAGCAATAAACTATACTTTTGATTTACTTGAACAGTATAAATAGGATATAGTTATCATTTAAGTAAACTAGTTTTGGTCAAAAGTAAGTAGAGCACTAATATCACTAGAATTACTGTTACTTGCTTGGCATTAAAGGGGCTAGACAAGGGCTGGTCGACTGGCGGTACAAAGTTACATAGCGTACAAATCTGTACAGAGACCTTTATTGTTTAAAAGATATAGAGTTCTTTATTGTTACAGTTACAGAGTTTGATTCATTTGTTTCTTTTTACAAATCCTTTATTTAAATGTAACTTACAAATGTACATTTCTTTTATTAAAAAGTTACTTACATGTCCTTTATTAAAAAGTTACATTTTATCGTTATTTAAGGAATGAATTTAATAGCTTCCCAAGTTATAGAGTGTAACCTGGGTTGTGGCAGTTTACGCTTTTATAAAAAAAAATAAAAAAGCGAAAACTGTTCCAATCCAGGTTATTCTTTATAAATTGCAAAGCTATTAAATTCATACCTTAAATAACGGTAACATTTAAGTAGTTACATTATCTTTATTACTGAAAAATTATACAAGTTCTTTATTAATGTTACATTCATATACATATTCGGAATCTCCTGCTGCTGCTGGGACTTCACTTACCACTCATTCAGGACACGGGCGGCGGCGGCCAAAACGTCTGAAGACTGGGAATACATATGGTGGTACATCTGGGGCTGGGGCTGTATCTGTGTGAGGTCTTGAGGCCATTGGGTGGGCACTGACGCTGGTCTGACCGGAACCATCTGAGGGGTCGCTGGTCTATGTGGCTGTTGCAGGGGCTGCGGTGCAAAGTGCTCCTGCTGCTCACTGTCCGCCCTGTCCTGGTACTTGTTGACGAGGGCGAATGCCTCTTTCGTGAAGTCCCACCAGAGGTGTCGAGGGAGGGGTTGGAGGGCTTGCAACATCCAGTCCACCCAGGCCTGCTTCTCGTCGCTGCTGTGGCTCATTGCTGCGTCCACCTTAGCCGTCAGGTCGACCGTCTGCCTGTCAGTCTTCTCCAGCAGGTCAATGATTGCTGTATCCAAGTCCTTCTTCTTCCTCTTCTTCTTCCTAGTGGGTGCCTGTGTAACCGAGGAGGAGGGCTCACTATCCTCATCCTCTTCATCAGCTGGTACTTGTCCGAGCTGGGATCCCTGTGGTCGGTGCACTATGTGCCTTGTCAGGAAGCCTAAATTTCTTTCCACCCACTTCTGCCTGGCTGTAAGGTTGCATCTTTTTTGGCCACTCTTCTTTTTCTGGACCTTGCCCAGGATGGTCCGCTGGGATCTGTACCAGAGCCGGATGTCTGCCACTGAAAAGAAACAAATGCCAGAATTGGTTAACGTTAACAATTCAAAATATTCAACAATAAAATATATCAAAATAAATATATAAAATGTTCAATAATATTATTTTGATTTACTCACCAGTCAAATTCATAGCTGCTGCCTTTTCCTGAATTAGGCGATCCTTTTTCTTAGAGTTTTTAAAGTCACTCCGACTTTTATCATAGAAGCAGGGGTTTTCTTGATAAAAGTCTGCCAGCTCTTGTTCCTGCTCTGGAGTCAGGTCCAAGGATTTCTGTTTGCTAGGATCTTGCTCATCCTCATCCTCACTGTACCCATCAGGCTCTAAAGGCTCAGCTGGTTGGTCTGGTGGCTCTTCCCCCTCGTCGGCAGGCTCAGGCGGATCATGAACAGGGCTCGGCTGCTGCGGCAGGTCCTGGGCCTCCTCCTCTTGGGCCTTCTTTCTACGGTTCATCTTGGCTTTACCTGTAGCCTTTGTCATCTTCTTGGGCGGCATCTCTTGCATTCAACTGACGAGGGTCGGAAACGGGTGGTATATATACCCCTCTATGACTCGCGCGAGCATTTGTACCATGGAACGCTTGATTGCACGAGCGCCTTACGTCCAATCGCATTGGCCCACGTTCAGTCGTCCGATCACCTGATTGCTTGCGCGATCCTTTCGCATTATCTTACAACACTCGCTTTCATTGTACAACACTTGCATATAGACGCAAGATATATCGCAAGATTTAATGCATAACGGTCGCTTTAGATCGTGCGAATTTCGTACGAATACTTTTTCATATGCGATTATTTCAGCAACAGTATACGATCCAACTCAAAATTTTTTGGTCGCATGAATATTTTGTCGCTACTGCTCGTGCACCAATTGTGAAAGGGCCTTTAATTCAATAATTTATGTCTTTTTTGTATAATGCGCAGACGAGACAGAACACACAAACAAGACAGTTACAGTATGCCATAAATAAAGGTATCCCATCCACTAAGACGCTGAAATCGGGGGACGACAATTCTTCAAATTTGCTTGTTTTTCTTTGCTGTAATGATGCTTATATACAATTAAAAAATGATTACCCTTAATTAGCTCTATTTAGGTCTTTAATGATTCTAATAACAATAATGATAATAATAGGAGTATAACATGCTCCTTGGAACACCCTAGTTTTTTGTAAGGGTCAGTTCAATTTGCTGTAAAAGCATTACCTCAGATTAGAAAATGATGAAATCAAACAAAGTGTTATCATTAAAGCTGAACACGACTCGTAAATAGGCAAACGCCATTTTCGATATTACTATCTAAGATATCAGCACCAGGGTATACTCTTCGCATTCGTTACACCTGACTGCTTTATTGTCACGGGCATCGGCGTGGAATGGCGACCCGTGTTCATGCTGGTTATCTTGCATTAGCTGTTTACATTTTATTGCAGTTACTGACGTGTATTTGTATTTGTTTGTATACTGCACTGACCTGTGCAACTGTTGTAAATATCTTTGGTATCTTACTCTCCTGCATTAGAAGAAGCACACAGTTATTTTTGTCGCTACCAAGTGCTGTATCGCATACGTCCGTCTACACCGGTGACAATTGATTACACTGAACAGTGACCAAGTGAGCAGCTCTATATATAGGGGCCCTCAGATATAGCGAGAGTCCAACCAAATATGGTGGACAGATTCTTTTTATGAAGCGTGTTCAGCTTTAACTAACCAATTGTCATATTGTATTCTATGTATGTTTTCCTATTCTCTTTTGCATTTCAAAAAAAAAAGAAAAAAAAAAAAGAAAAAAATTCACTGAATTAATTTGAATGTAAGCTGGACCCGGGGCCCTAAACTGAGAATATAGACTTAAGTCAAAATTGAAGTTTTTAAAGATGCAGGTTTTGTAATATTCATGTACAAAGGAGTGTTTAAAATTTTGTTTTATTCACTAACAGATTATTTCAAAGTTGACTTTATTTGTAATAATTTGAAATTATTACTAGTCTTTTTCAAGTTTATGTTGGTTGTGGAAAAAATTTGAAATTATATTGCTTAAGAGCCCTCTATACACTGCACACTAAAGAGTTCTGATTTTGTGGTATTTTATGCAGATAGAGTGATCTGCCCTTTGAGCAAGAATAAAGTAAATTGGAATGTACAGTTTATTACTTAATGTGTGATCAAATCAAGCATTCATAACACTTTAATAGGCCAACAGGAAAAGATAAAACACTTCATTTGCAGGTATTTTATCCAATGAAGTAAACAACAGTAATTTCTGTTCATCAGTACTTCATTTCTTTGAACATTTTTCTTGGGGGTAAATTCAAGGCACCCTATGTTAAAAACATGATAGATAAGCCCAATATTTACACCTTTACACACCATAATTTTCTCAATGTCCAAAAAATATTTTCTTCTAGTGTATAGAGGGTCCTTAAGTTTATTTCAAGTTTATGTTTATTTTAAGTTTATGTTGGTTGTGGAAAAGAAAAGAGTTGTCTATGAACTTCAGCCACATATAGTAATATATGCATGTTTTTCAGGTATACCTTGATCCAGTAGGCTTGAAAACAAATGAACTGGAGAGAGTTAAACTGAACACTTCTAAGATCAAAGCCATCAGAGTTATGAATGATCAAACTTTGTATTTTATGTCAGAGGATAAGGTGAGAGCAAAGAACCTTATTTAAAGCAAAATTGATTTCACCATCAATATATATATATATATAATAAAAAACTTTCAAACACTTTTTAGCTCACTCGAGTCGAAGGCTCAAGTGAGCTTTTCTGATTGGAATTTGTCCGTTGTCTGTCGTTGTCATAAACTTTTCACAATTTCATCTTCTCCTCCAGAAACCGTTCATGGTAGCTCAGTCGGTAGAGTGCTCGCTCCGTGATCGGGAATTTGTGAGTTCAAATCTCAGCAGCAACTGACCTAAGTTGATGAAAAATGGGTAGCAACTGTTCCTTTGCCATGCGCTTAGCAATTTTAAGTGAAAGTTGCGGGTCCTTCGTATGAGACCTTAAAAACCAAGCCCTGTCACTGCAGGTGTTGGCACAATAAAGATCCCTCACTGCTCAATGGCCCTGAGTGCCGAGTAAAGGTTAATATTTGAAGTCCTTCACCGTTATATGGTGACATCTCTATATGAGTGAAAAATTCTCGAATGGGACGTTAAACAACATACAATCAATCAATCAATCTTCTCCAGAACCACTGGGCCAGTTTCAACCAAACTTGGCACAAAGTACCTTGCGTGAAGGGAATTCCAGTTTGTTCAATTGAAGAGCCACACCCTCTTTCAAGGGGAGATAATTACAAATTAGTGGAAAATTAACGGCATCTTTTAAAAATCTTCTCATGAACCACTAGGCCAGGAAAGATGAAACTTATGTGGAATCATCCTCAGGTAGTGTGGATTCAAGTTTGTTCAAATCATGATCCCCGGGGGTAGGGTTGGGCCACAATGGACAGGGAAATTTTAACACAGTAATATATAGGAAAAATCTTTAAAAGACTTCTTCTCAAGAACAGCAATACCTTGATTTGTCATATTCATATGGTAGCATCCTCAGGTAGTGTAGATTCAGATTTATTCAAATCATGACTCCTAGAGGTAGGGTGTGGCCACAATGATTTATTCAAATCATGACTCCTAGAGGTAGGGTGTGGCCACAATGGATGAGCAAAGTTATATATAGGAATACTTAGGATTTTTTAAAAAAAAAAAAAAAAACCTTCTTCTCAAGTACAATGAAGACATGATAGGTCTTATTTATATGAAAGCATCTTCAAGAAGTGTAGATTCAGATTTCTTCAAATCATATGTCCCCTGGGGATAGGGTGGGGCCACAATGGATGAACAATTTTTTTTTACATAGGAATATATAGGAAAAATCTTCTTCTCAAGAACAGCAAAGCCCTGATTGGTCATATTTATATGGAAGCATTCTCAGGTTATGTAGATTCAAGTTTGTTCAAATCATGACCACCGTTCACGGTAGCTCAGTCGGTAGAGCGCTCGCTCCGTGATCGGGAGGTCTTGAGTTCGAATCTCGGCCGCGACTGACCTAAGTCGATAAAAAATGGGTAGTAACTGTTCCTTCGCCATGCGCTCGCCACTTTGAAGTGAAAGTTGCGGGTCCTTTGGATGAGACCCTAAAAACCGAGGCCCTGTGTCACGGCAGGCGTTGGCACGATAAAGATCCCTCACTGCTCAATGGCTGTAAGTGCCGAGTAAAGGTCAAAATTTGAAGCCCTTCACCGGTATATGGTGACGTCTCTATATGAGTGAAAAATTCTCGAATGGGACGTAAAACAACATACAATCAATCAATCAATCAATCAAATCATGACCCCAGGGGTAGGGTGGGGCCACAATGGAAGAGCAAAGTTATACATAGAAATATAAAGGAAATCTTTAAAAATCTTGTTCTCAAGAACAAAAGGTATGATTGGTCATATCTATATGGTAGCATCCTCAGATAGTGGAGATTCCAGTTTGTTCAAATCATGACCCCCGGGGGTAGGGTGTGGCTACAATGGACGATCAAAATTTTACATAGGACTATATAGGAAAAATATGTAAGAATCTTGTCCTCAAGAACAACAAAGCTATGATTGGTCATACATATTAATATGGAACCATCCTCAGGTAGTGTAAATTCAAGTTTGTTCAAATCATTACCCCTAGGGGGTAGGGTGGACCACAATGGACGGGCAAAGTTTTATCTAGGAGTATATAGGAAAAGTCCTCTTATCATGAACAGCAAAGCCATGATTGGTCATTATCTATTTGGAAGCACCCTTAGGTAGTGTAGATTCCAGTTTGTTCAAATCATGACCCCCCAGGGGGTAGGTGGTGCCATAATGGATGAGCAAAGTTATACACAGTGATTTTTTTTGGGTCAAAATGCCACCGATATTCGGCTGTTTCCCCTCACAAAAATTAGCTATTTTTTCCCATTTATTAGTATATTTTTCCCAATTTCAAACATACGGAAATTATGTTTTAATTTTGAACAAAAGTCGCGAAATTTGCTGACAGAGTAATTACGTTTATATTTTTCAATTTTATTCTCCAAATCCATGCCTATGCAGCTGATTTTTTAATGAATGTGTAAAACATTGTAGATATCCATATAAGCAGATAAGTAGCTTATAATATCCTAAATAAATTAGTAAATAGTTCCCAGATACAAGTCATGTTGCATGTTGACATAATGATCATTATTACATAGGGGGTCTGGCTAATATCAGGAAATGGATTACACATAGGGTTTCACTAAAACCAGGAAAAAACAAACAATAAAGACTGTAAATTTGATTATCAATATAAAACAGTTTACTAGATTATGAGTCTAATTGCTGGTTATTATTTTTTATGAAATTAGACAAAGCAATTCCAAGAAAATAGAAGCTATAAGGTGTGACTAATATAAGCCATGTTCACATTCAATGAAATATTGTTGTTAATTTTTTAAAATGATTATTTTATGAATTTAAATCAAATTCAAAGTTAAAATCAAACAAAAATTGTTGTTGTTACTTAGTTTGATTTTTTATGTATTTTTAAGCATTCTAATTTACTATAAATGATTTTTCCCAATTTGAGGAAAATGTGGCTTATTTTTCCCAATTCAAAAGGAGAGGGTTGAGGTTTAACAAACAAAAAAAATCACTGATACATAGGAATATATTGGAAATCATTTTTAAATCTTCTTCTCAAGAACAGTAAAGTCATGATAAGTTATATGGAAGCATCCTCAGGTAGTGTAGATTCAGATTTGTTCAAATTGTGACCCCCGAGGATAGGGTGGACCACAATGAAAGTTCAAACTTACTGGAAGAAAGCCACAGTTCGGCAAAGAAATGTGTATGCGTCCTTAGTGTAGATTCAAGTTTGTTCAAATCATAAACCCCCCTTTTTTTAGGGGTAGGTCGGGACCACTTATGCATTTATCAGCATTTATCAGCATTTTTTTCTACCAAATGGGAAAGGGTCCGGTACCAGTTCAATTAGGAAAAATAGCTTTGAAGTAGAACATAGAAAATTTTCAGTAATTAAAGAAATGGAACGTTTTTGTATTTAATCCAACTTCATTACCTACTACTCTGTCTTTTAAAGAATTAAAACAAGTAATTATTGTTTTTCAATGTCCCTTGTTTTTGCATTTTCATGCTTTCAATTTGTCAAAATGTATGACACTACACTGTCTACACCACATGTTCCGCCATATTACCACTAATCTCTACCTTCGATTTAAGCAGAAGTGAAACAATATTAGTTAACTTATACAATGTTTCATGTAAAAAGAAACACGATGTCATCGTAGTCTGTCGCTTGGCAGTTGAATTGGAAATTTTTAGTCTCAAAATTGGGAAAAATTAACATTTTTTTGGCATTGGGAATGGTACCGTTTATTTGTACCAGTTATATAAGGAAAAAAAAACGCTGTTTATACATTTTAATACTGAACTCATTTCTGCTTTTGTCTTAACCACAGTGCTCAGGTGAGGGATGTGGCCCATGGGTCTCTTGTTGAAATATTTCGACTGTGATACCAACCTTCATCATTCATGTTTATTTGAATGCATAGCAACTCAACATCGAACGATGATGATATCACAATGAACATACAAACTGAAAGGCAACGTCATGTAATAAAATTGTGCCAAAAACACTATATATATATATATATATATATATATATATATATATATATATATATATATATATATATATATATATAAGATGGCTTTGAAGCATATAAAAATATATATCTTTAAAAAAAAAATCTCACCAGTTTCTCCCACATACGCTAAAGTTACACTTTTTACAAAAAACTTCATATTCAACATTCCTAGATTTACAATTAATATAATTTTTTATCTGACAGATGTTTCTGTTATTATCTTCGAGCTGGCTGGTTTTAACATCATATTTACACAAAATAAATTTTTTAGCTCCACACGGCTCATTGTTATGCTTTTTATAAACTAAAATGTATTTCAAATTTTTGTCTCTTCTAAAAGCTACAATTGGTGTCTTTTCGAACGCGTGTTTAAGGCCATCAGAATTTTCCAAAATTTTTTGACGTTTCTTTAAAATGTTATGAATATTAGGAAGTCCTTTAGAATAGGTCAATACTAAGGGAATACGATCACATTGTGTTTTATTTTTTTTATAATTCAGCAGATTCGAGCGACTGGGTTTATCCACTTTCATAAGTTGTTTTTCTACTTCAATACTGGAATAGCCCGTTTTTTTCAAGTTCCTTTTCACTTTTTCACATTGGTTTTGATAGTTTTTCTCTGTTGAGCAAATATGACGTCTCTAAGACCAAGGCCGTATGGAACTGAACTGTAAGGACGAAGTATTCTTAACTTTTGTAAAATTTGACATTTCTGCATCCATATTGGCACGTTTTATACACTTCTGAAACAATTGATAACAAACGTAAATTGATTGGATAATAATAGCTTTCAATAAAGCAGCCAATCAATATTGCCGACTTATTTGCACATTATTTTCTTTTCTTTGTGCACTTGCATTGAACGATTGGCAGGAAATTTAAAAATAAAACCAAGAACAGGGACTTTTATTTTTATTTGGTTTTAGCTGAAATTGCAGTCGGCGTCCCATAAATCATTTTATTAAAAAAT